CCCAGCAAGCGTTTGTTGCGGTAGAAGGACGATAACCAGCGGACCAGACAGTGACCGTGTTTTTAATAAGAAAGTGCGAGGGACAGTAATTTGCTCTCAAATGTTTTCCTTGAATTCATTAAATAAGTTGCCAAGTGCAGCCGGGAAATATGAATAGACAGTATAAATACGTGAGATTAGAGTTGCTGGTTTTATTCTAAGCAGGAAATAAACACCTTTTAGTTGTGGCAATAAAGATGTAATTGTAATTCTTAGCATCTACTAGTGACATCCAGTCCCCCAATCCCGAAAGTTTGTCCGTCCGTCCGCCCACCCGTCAGTACATTTCTGGCTAAATTTAGCGGGGAAATTGATGCCCACACCGGCCTATACACAAATTCATTTTCTCCGCAGAATTTCGCGGAGTAGATTGATGTCCCTTGACCTCGCGTCACGGGACCTACAGACCAATTCATTTTCTTAGCTATATTAAACTGTAAATTTAACGCCATGTGAGCTAAACACCAATTCAGTTTTCCCGCTAAATTTGACGGCAATGTCACGTGACCTGATGTCATGTGACCTCTAAGATATTTTAGTTTCTCCTCTAAATTTGGCTGGAAAACTGGTGACCTGACTTCACGTGGGCGACACATTAAATCAGTTTCTCCGCTATATATGTTGCGAAAATCGTTGTTGCATCGCCTGAGGTCACGTGACCTATGGCTCGTAGCCTGACGTCACTGGAACTATGCACCAGTTTAGTTTCCCTGTTAAATTTAATGGAAAGATTGACGTTCCGTGACCACATGTTCCCTTACCTACACATACAGACATATATATATATATATATATATATATATATATTGATGACACGTGATTGTATATAGTACGTCTTTCAAACAAATTAAGACGATCGCTTCTTAAACACTGCATTCCGTCATTATAGGAGTTTCTAGGTAAAGGCCGCTGCCAATCTTTTCACACTTTTGGGCCTGCAGCAGAAATGCTCCCCGACATCAAGTTCACCTTAAAACAGTAGTATGGTACATATCCGCCTATTTAAAAAGAGGTTTGGAACTGGGGTCCTTCGTGTTAGTTTTGGTTCTACAGTTGTTTAAAGGGAAGCTGAATAGGTTTCTGAAAGGAACGAGTTAGAGGTGAATTATAGCGTATTTTTGTCCCGCGAATGGGAATATCGCAATCATTGGACCAGAGCATATCCATAGACGCGAGAAAAACCGAAACACCAACCACCGGGTGCGACGTCCTACCTATAGGTCTCAGCTGCCTTGCGCGTGCCGCTTCTGATGGAACGCATACGGCACTTTTGACTGCTCGGGTGAAGCTTGGGGAAAGCGCAGAAATGTTCAGATCTCTGTTATATTCATCATCATCATCGTCATCATAATGCCTTTATTTGTGCCAATTAACAACCAACAAAGGTCTACAATGTGGCACAGTGAAAAAAAAAATTGCACAACTGTAAAACATGCTTAATTGATAAAACTAGCATGCAACAAAACACGACAGTACATTTTTAGCGACGGAAAATAATCTCATCTAATTGTCTACTGAGATTTACGTAGCTATCAAAAATATCACTTTTCATGCCCAAGATTGTTTACACTTGTCTGCATTCTTGTTGTTGGTGATGTCATGTGTTGATTGTGGGGATAAAAAGTGAGAGCTGTCCTATTTGAGCGAGTCGGTACGTTAAAGTTCACTGTGAACAAAAGTGTTGAGTCAATGTCCCCGTGAACTATTTTATATAAGAAGGCAACATCGCGCGATAATCTTCTGAGGGATAGACACTGTAGGCCAAATTTGTCGAGCAGGACTTCATAGTTGTAAAAATGCCTTCGGCCAAGGTATTTGTCATAGATTATGCGCACAAAACGTCTCTGAACTGACTCTATTTTAGCTGCATCACGTAGTGTCAGTGAATTCCACACCACAGAGCCAAAGTCTAATCTCGATCTGATAATAGAACAAAATAAACGAAGGAAACAAGCATAGTTCGCAAACTTTCTAGTTAATCGAGTAATCATTCCAAGTAATCTAAATGCAGAACAGGCAATATGGGCTACATGGCAGCCAAAGGACAGAGTAGTGTCAAAGTACACTCCTAGATCACGAAGCGATGATACTCTTAAAATGCACTTATCATCAATTGAGTATGAATAGTGTATAATTTCACGTTTTTTACTGAAAGACATGACCTTCGTTTTTTCTGGATTGATGATTAAGCAATTTTCCCGACACCAGTCTAAAATATGCGATGCGTCACTCTGAAGAAGGTCACAGTCATCGATCAAACTAATACTTAAAAAGAGCTTGATGTCGTCTGCGAATAACAGCACGTTTGAGTTTACTACGCAATTAGATATCTCATTGATAAAGATCAAAAACAATAGTGGACCCAAATTGGAGCCCTGTGGTACTCCCGATGACGGATAAAAAGGATCAGAGAAGTTATTTAAAATGCGTACGACACAACGACGGTCAGTCAGGTAGCTTTGAAGCCATAATAAAAGCACAGGAGAAACGCCATTACGTGACAATTTGTGCAGCAGCAAAGCGTGGTTCACCTTGTCAAAGGCTTTCGAGAGGCCAAAATAAACAACGTCAACTTGACCGCGATTACAAACAAAAGGCACTGAATAATCAACGAAAGTACAGAGGTTTGTCTCGACTGAGCGCCCCTTGGTAAAACCGTGCTGAAAAGAACTGATACAGCGCTTGAAATAAAAAGACAGACGGGTGTGCATCACTATCTCAAATACTTTTGAAAAAGAACATAGCAATGATACAGGGCGATAGTTCCCAACTTGCGAAGTATCCCCCGTCTTATGAATAGGAACAACAATAGACTCTTTCCACAGAGATGGAAATATACCCTTACTCAATGAAATATTAAATATATGCTCTAAGATAGGCGCAAAAAGATTCGAGCAACCTTTAACAATAAAGTTAGGCACATGATCTGTACCAGATGTTAGTTTCGGCTTCAGTTTCCTTATAGCCGCCAAGATCTCGCTAACAGTGACTTTGTCTACTGCACAAACATCAGAGTAGACAGGATCGTCAAGAAATGCACTATCTTTAGGAACATCGGAGGAACAACAACCACTGAAATGACTTGCAAAAAAGTTGGCGATATCCTTCGGGTTAGACAGATAATCAGAATTTCTTCTTAGACAGATACCGTGTGTACTGCCTTTTGTATGTTGTCTAGCAAATTTCCAAAACTTATCTGGTTTGTGAAAAATACTATTTTCTACTGCGTTTAAATGCACACACTCGTCATGAATAAACAACTTTTTAACAAGAGACCGATAAATGCTGAACTTAGCATACCACATTTGCGATCCATTTTTTTTGTACAATTTGTGACAATGTGATTTTTTCTTTATGTAATATATTAGATCTTTAGAATACCACGAAGGATACTTTCTAGGTTTCGATGACCGTTTTGGAATAAAGTTTTCCATTCCATTTCTCACTACCGTCGTAAACGACTTCGCCGCTGAGTCGACAGAATCGTCCTTCAAAATGGATGACCAGTCGTAATTTTCAAAAACCTATAAAGACCAAAATAATCGCCTGTGTTGAAGGAGTAATACGTCTGCTTTGGGAGAGCTGCAGATTTCAACGAATTATGGAAGGCAACAATAAAGGGTGGGTGAAAAGCGTCAACCTTAACAAGTGAAACATCGGCAAGAGTTAAGCCGATGATTGGCACATTTGAAAGAAAAAGATCAAGGACGTTCCCAGCGCAGTTATCAAACCCGTTTAATTGACTAAGGCCATTAAAATGTATGAAATTCAATAGGTGAGACGACTTGCTTGCTGTTATACTGTTTTGACTAGTAACAAATCCTGACTGCCAGTTGGCACCAGGTAGGTTAAAATCACCATAAATGTGCACCCTGAACTTTGAAAAGTCAATTTCTTTTTCCAATGTATCAAAGTGTTCATTAAAAATACGATTATCCGATAGGGGAGGGAAATAATAATTCCCAATTAGGTAGTTACAACCATCATTTGAAAGCAATTCTATCCAAACGCATTCTGGGTGGGTTTCAAGGTCTTGTCTACGATGCGAGGTAACTGACTGATTTACGGCGATTAATACACCGCCTCCGAATTTCTGGCGAGTTAAAGCATAATCACGGTCACGACGGTGGACGGTATAAGAAGGCGGAAAATAGTCTGCACTTGAAATTTCCTCGTTGAGCCATGTTTCAGTTAGACAAATTATATTAAAATTGGAAGAGACTACATTTGGCAGAAATGTGTCTGCTTTGGTTCGTAAGCCACGAGTGTTTTGGTAGTTTTCATATTCACAGTTTAGATTTATATGAGAGCTGGGCAGTCACAGAAGGCCAATGACCTATACGTTTGTTACACCTTGTTCTAAACGTAAGCTATACGAGTACAAAACATAGCATTATAGATACACGCACGCGAATATGAGGAAAAGATGAGACCTAATGAGTAGAGACTGTGCAACAGATAATAACGACGAAAGAAAAAGTGTCTAAAATACGTCATGATTCTCTCCTGGCATCGAACGGGACGGGAAGGAGGGGCGGGGCTTCAGCGTTATCTAGAATGCGCTGTTGTTGATTTGGCGCATCAATTATAATTTTGATATTCGTAATCATGGAGGCAAAACAAAGATGATTAAATTATTTCTTTTCGAATACAGAATTACATTATTTTCACTTTAAATTTTTTTCATTTTTTTTTTTCATTTCTCGAAGAAAAATGTTTTTAACTTCGTTAAGAAAACCAGCACTGCAATATTCAGCTATATATGCAAGAAATTATAAGCGAGGATTCTCTGATTGATCTTAATGCGAATTTAGAATGCACCATACAGTTTTATACACGAATAAGATACCGCTACTTTGTTGTAATGCTGTACCACATGAGTTGAGAGATCGAGGAACTTCTTAGGTTTCTAGCGATGAACAACTTTCGTAACAGTGCATTAAACAAAAGGAGCACAACAGTTTGACAGGTTTGCAAGCAATTTTATTACCCGAGAACTATTCATTTATTTATTTGACAATACTATCAGCCCCGCAGCGGGAACAATAATAGGAATGAGCTAAAATATTCTGGCGGGCTAGTTGGTTATACATAATTAATTTACAAATGTCCACTTCTTCGTCTGTCCTCGTCCTAGAGCTATTTGTAAATTAAATAGGAATGAGCATTTAGAAAAAAAACAAACAAAAATGCAACAGCATCAGCATTCAATTTCCAACATGCACACGGAGAACATCATAAATTGTTCTTTACATACCGCTTTAAATATACAGTCATTCTAATCAATTCAATTTGTTTTAAAACTAGACGACACGTTGAAAACGAAACTGTTTGAAGATAGCCATATGGTCCAATAGGAGGACCCGTTCCCAGTAATTTGGATTCGTAAAATGAGTTACGCGCACCGAAAAAGAATGAATGCTGCGACGCAATTTGAATAATTCAGCATATTTAGTTTCATAGTTTCTGCCATGCAGGGCAGTAGGTAAGAAGGGCGACGATGGTGGCGTCGAATGGCCCAGGTTACTAGAATTAGCGTGTCCTCTTCATTAACTCCAGGAATTCCGGGATGCCAAAAGTCGATGCCCCAGCAGAGGCAGAAATCTTTGTAGAAGTGTAGAGTTTTTGTTCATGCGAATTGGTTGGGTTGTTAACAACAAAAACTGATGCAGGCTGTGTTTAAGACTGAAAATAACTAAAAAAGGCACTTGAAAGTACGAACGATTTTGTTCGGTAAATGTACGTTATCGACTGCGGCGGAACTTTCGGATTGATTTGTCTGTCCTGATTTGCAGGCAGGCAAATATTGCGGCACGATATTCGAAAATGTTCTACCTACAGCGCCATGGGAGATAATGTTGCCTTTAATGTTAGGAAAAAGGGTGACAAAAAAAGAAAAGAAATGAGTAGTTTGACGCGTGCCCTGTCAGGAGAAGGGTCAGCCGCCTTGTCCAAGCGTCTAGAGGTTTGGCGATGCCGAAGAAACGAAGCCCACATGGCTGCGCTGATCTAGAAGAAAGAAGGCCGTGTTAGTGCCTCTCCAAACACTACAAGGTCATCAGAATCCACACAAGGGTAGAGGACATGGCACTCACCGACGTCCCGTGACGTGAACCTGGCGTAGAACCCGAGACCGTCGTTGTGCTCGTCGGTGGACATCTTGACGAGCATCCTTTCCGACGAGGACTCGATCACAGCAGGCCGGTCCTGCAACGAAGGTCACTTAGCTCGTTCTCGGGACTATAGTCCGTTGCAACTCAAGCAGGTAGGGCGAGGGTACGGAAGGCCGGGGAGGAGGAAGCAGACGAAACGCTGGAGAGATGGTAAAACGTCCTCCTTTCTGCAGCGTTCCGTCTGCTTCCTACTCCCCGGCCTTCCTTTCCCTCGCCCTTTCTTAATTTGCGACGGACTATAGTAATCCTAAACTACGGTGACTGGAACGCTTCATCGATAGCATGTTCAACGTCCTATCCCCCCTTGCATCGCAAACGGTCTCGAAGTGGCAACAAATGACGTCACAGAAGCCGGTGTGTCATCGCGTCTGATGTCGCCAATTTGGTGGTTGGTCGTAGAAGTTCCGGGAAAAAGCCACGAGAAAACGCGATTGCCGTGGTTGCCACGGTTTCTCGCTGCTGAAGCTTCCGTGGACTGTCAAGCTGGGAAGCGGCCTGCAGCAGAACAACGGTCTGCCTGCTACTGTGCCAACCTCACCACATCAGTGTTGCCAACTCAAAAATAAAAACCCACTGTAGGAATACCAGAAAACCGCTAAATTTCAGGCTCCCACAATTTATAGCTATAATAAGTCTAAACGGTTAAATAAAAAAAAGAAACCTTAGAAGGGAACTACATTGTTCATTGCAGATCGCTTCCATGCACAGAGCAATGTCCGTTGCGTGATCTTACTGTTACCAGGTGTGTTTTCTGTTATACCTCTTGACGTATATCTTTACCGTTACGATCTTTAGTGCAATATTCTGTGGCAGTTCAAAGGTTCCGTGATCAAATTCACATGTTTTGAAAAAAGCTCCATTTTAGAGTATCCGAGTGTCTAACGTCGCTTGGAGCTTCCAACAACCGGTCTCCTATAGTTTAGAATGGAACTGCCACTATGTTTTTTTTTTCTTTTACATTTTTTATGCATAGTTTATTGGGCCCATTTCATGCGTCGGACTTAAAAAAGGAAACGAATTCGCACTTTCACGTCAGTGTTGGACAAAATACTCGACAAATGTATTTAAGTTAAATTACTAAATACCTACTTCATAAAACATTTGGAATACTACACAATATACTTTCCCTGCAAAATAACTTGAGTAGAGTAAAAATACTTCAAAATGCAATTAAAGTACCTCGGAAGGTACTTACACATTGCGTAATTTGCTTCGGCTTCGCTGACACTAGAATGCTTTATTTGCAAGGGATAGATGCAAACCAAGCAAAATCACAGTGCTATTCTAAGCAGCCCCAGTACATGGATTATACATCCGCGGTACATGCTACAAGATAGCTTTTAGACAAACGAGAAAAAATTGGTAACTATACTTGTTGTCACTTCGCAGATAATCACGTGTTCTTGTGTGTTTTATAATGCAAAGCTTAGCCGCATCATTTTACAAAACGCCGCGAGTCACCACATCCGGAACTCACTTTATTGAAAGAAAAAAATCTATAATACGCAAAAGAATGATTGATTAACAAGATAGTATGCATGGCACTTGAGGCGCCTTCTTCAAGCCGGGTACCCCAAACGCTGCATTCAGAGATGACTAAACTTCAAAAAGAAAGGCTCAGATGGACACGAAGAAGCAGTGCTGTATTTCTCGCGGTGGTCGATTTTTTTTTTTTTTATCCTTTACACAAAGCTCTAGAAACGCCTTCAAAAAGGCGTACAACTTTGTGAGGACCAGGGATGGGCAAAATACATGCAAATATCTATCGCAATACAAATACAAAATACTTCGTCAAAAATGTATTTTATTACAAATCTAATTACATTTCCAAAAAAAGCATTTAAGTACAAGATACAAATACAATCAAATGTATTTCGTCTCCTCAAAATACTTTTCCAAATACATTCCTCAAATTTTGCGTCACCGACTTCAGGGCACCTGCAACGGGTTTCTGGGTATCTCATTTTAATTTTGCATCGCACACTCGGGAGTTAGTGTGCGAGGCTCTAGTAACGTTGCACGTCAAAAGATCCCCAGGTGGTCCAAATTAATCCTCAGTCCTCCGCTGGGGCGTGCCAGATGCCCGCCGTTGGTTTGGCTCGTAAAACCCTCAAATTTGACTTTTAGTAACGTAATAGAAATATAATCACGAAAAAATTTTAATCAGCTTGGACGTAATAGGTGAAAAAGTACAGAGCTTCAAGCAGCTTTTTTTGTCGATTACATTTTGGTATAGACCAACAAAGAACCGAGACGACCAAAACGCGCAGCACTAGCTAGATAATTTTTATTGTTGCAACTCGTACCAGTTACGAAAATCTGGACGAACCGCGCATTTAGAATGCAGGCAAAAATATGGATAGAAATCAGGCTGGAAAGCATCACAAGTTGTCACAGGCACTAATTTAGCCAGTCTGCCTGTGAACGTTGATTTCATCACTATTCTTGCCCTGGACTAGCACCGTAATCACAATGTCACTAAACGCTTGTGCTTGATTGAGAGACACTGCATTCGGTGCAGAACGTAGTTCTCTTCCTGCTCTGGACAGTGCCTTTAAAATAAAGCCGGAGGAGAAAAAGAAAAAAAGCCCCATGGCCGAATAAAGAATGGAGACTATATCTTACAACCACATGCATAAAAACAAGATGTATTTTCGCCCACAAAATTGTATTTAATTACAATTGTATTGGAAATACCCACGTTTTAGTATTTAAATACACACGTCAAATACATTACCCAATTTGTAATTAAATACAAATGCAAAATACACAAAGTATTTTAAATACGTATTTCAAATACTTGTATTTGAAATACTGCCCATACCTGGTGAGGACTTATTATTTGCATTTTGGAAGCTCATGTTGCACGCAGCTTATTTCCAGTCTTTTTGCAAGAGCTATGCTCATGATATTGTTGGGCTCTTGGGGTTCTTGCCATATAGGCATAAAAAACAATATAAAAAAACATTGTATTTTTTGGTGCCCCTACAATTTTCCTCTATTTGCTGTTTTGCTGGCATTTGAGCCTGCATCTTTGGTCCTGGCTTATTTCCTGTTCATCATTCGGTCGTTTGTGCTTCAAGTTTGCGATCGGCTCAACTCTGTGCGGGGGTGTGCGGATTATTATTCCCATTAGATATTCAAGCGACAATGTTTTGTGCAAAATGTATTTGAGATAATAAGTACAAGGGATACAGAGGAATGTAATTATAATAGAATAGCAAATACTTACGATAAAATGTATCTGCAAGGCATAGAATGACTTTCAAAACTTGCTGAAAGACAGAATCTTGAGTGGGGTATTTGAGATAGGCCCAAGTATGACATGCACAATTCAGTTCAAGGCATGTTTCGAGGTTTGCCACTGTAATGCCTTAATGGCGTCGCAAGCATTAGCGTCACTGGCAGGTTTGTTACCAGAAAGTAAAAGTGACGACTCGATGAGTTACCACAAAAATTAAGTAATTTATGATTCCCAAATTCATATTCGAGAACATTTAAAACTGTATAAAAACGATAAAACGCCCGTAAAACGGTAATTGCTCCCGCTCGACGACTCAGAAAATCGATATACCTACAGGGAAAAAGGCTAAATCGGCAACACAAACCACGGAAAGCAAGGGCATGCCACATTTGCGACGTAACCAACGGAAAGGAAAAAAAAAAAAAGTTAACGCCACACCAGTCGAAGAGGGTATCCAGGCACCTTACCCGCAAGGCAAACTCACCTGCCCGCACAGGCGCGTGAGCCTCTCCTCAGCCAACTCCCTGTGCCCGCTGAAGACGTCCACGTAGTTGGTGCTGCAGTTGCCGCCCATCAGCGAGAAGCTCTGAAAGCGAAGCGACAGCACCGCTCCCTTGTGCGCCGCCAGGAACCAGGAGCAGGCGCGCTTCTTCGGAGGCTGCGGGTAGCCCGGGCTCGACAGGGCGCCCTCAGAGGCCGTCAGGTTGCCGCCGCAGCCTCCTTCCCCGCTGCTCATGTACGCCAACAGAAACTTGACGAAGTAGTTGGAGTAGCTACTGCGTGCCGTCACGGTGATCCGATCGCCGGTGGAAAACACGGGGTTCGGGCTCACGTCACCGCACACGGAAGCCAGCACGCGGGCTCCGGGGCCACCGTCACGAACCTACGAGTGGTCAGGCTTCTGATTCTTCTGCGCGCATACTTTAGTCATTGGCAGGATGAGAACGGTAGGGGGGTCGTGCAGTTGTCCCGCCTCCAGGGCGAGCGTCTTATCCATGACGCTTGGGCGTCTCATGAGGCTCGGACGTGCACGCCCATCCAAAGCAAGACGTAGGGCAGCGGACGTGTGCTGGAGGCCGGAGATTCGAAAGAGACGTCCTGTCGTTCTCATCCTGACGGTGACTCGAAAAAGAGGCCATGACTCTGTTGAACCCTCCTCACCTGCATCAGCGTGTGAGGGCAGCTGTCGTTGATGAAGTTGCCCACGTGGAAGCGGACGAAATAGAGCGCCAGTGTGGTGCCGGCGGGCAGCCCCTCTGGAGCCACGGTGATCGTCACAGGCTTCATTAGCGACGACCAGTTCGGGTAGTCGGTGTTCATGATGACGCCGCTGGCTAGGCGGTACGTCTTATTGTGGCCTGCGGAGGAGAAAATCGGAGGGTTTGATGCCCGGAAGAAAGAGTCGGAAGTAGTCCCCATTGCCTCGAGATAATTTAGAAACCTTCGCTGTTTCCTTGCGACGTTGGGCTTTGTCACGGCAATTGGCCATGAATTGAAATGGTAACTTTTGTGGTCATTTGTAGGATGAACTGAAATAAACTGTACAGCTCGGTGAATAGAAAAAATGGCTCTATGTTTCAACAGGCAAATGTTTATGGCAGCCAGAACAAGTTTCAAAGGACATTCTCGAAGAACAAATTGTGCGGGAGAAGGGAATGGAGGAAGCCGGAAAGAGCCAAGGAAAGGGGAGAGAAAGCATCGAACATGGAGACGACAATTTCCCGAAAACATTTTCTTCAGAGGCTACCTCAACCAGCCCGCGTGACACTGAGCACATCGGCCACCGACTCCATCGCCACGTTGACTCGGATTGCCGGCCAAATCATGGACGCGGGCTTTCGATTCAACTCCGTGGTTCAAGCACGTGACACCTCACTTCATGCCGCACGACAATCGCCTACCATATAGGAAAAGATTGCCCAGCTGCTGTCAGGATGGATCAACTCACGCGTGAGCTCAAGGACCTCGGCATGTGTCACTACCGATCCTCAAGCGCAAGTAGATGAACCAACCAAGAACGCCGCCGGAGCAAGTCTCCTGCAAAACACCAGGTCTGCCTGCTGGCATCACTACCGTCACGGCAAGGACGCCAAGAAGTGCCAACCTCCGTGTTCCTTCTCGGGAAATGGCAGGGTCGCACACTAGAGGCGGAGAGTGTAGTTGGCCTGGAGTCCAACCGTCTTTTCTACGTAACCGTCTGAAACACCAGGGGTACCTAGTAGATACGTTGGCCGGGATTTGCGTCGTTCCGCCTGCGCTGGAAGATCGACGCATCGACCAAACACACCGCAACCTCTGCAACTATGTGCAGTGAATGGTTCATCAATTAATGGGTACAGACACAAGTCAATCACTCTCGACATCGGCCTTAGATGGACGTTCCAGTGGGTTGTCTTAATCGCCGACGTCCTTCGACCGATCCCGATTTTTTTCGACATGTCGCGCTCATGGTGGATGTAAAGCGAAAACTGCTTCACGACACTGAGACTCGCCTCACCGTATAGAAATATCCGCGAAGGGAATCTAAGGGACGCCCAGCCTCCCCCAAGTGCAGCCAACCTCCCAATGGAAGAATATCCTCGATGAATTCCCCAACGTGTTTCGCCCAACTTCAAGGGACATTCTGTTGAAGCACACGGTGACCCACCATATCGAGGCGAAGGGGCCCCCGGTGTTTGCTGGACCTAGACGCCTAGCTCCAGATTGCCTGCGGATATCGATACCAAGAAGTTGAGCACATGCTCGAGCTTGGCTACGTCTTGCTTTCCTCCAGCTCCTTGTCCTCGGCCCTCCACATGGCCTCAAGGAAGAGCGGCAACTGGCGTCCATGCGGGGATTACAGAGCCCTCAACCAGAGCACGGTCCCCGATCGCTACCCTATTTCCCACATACGGGATTTCACCGGCGCCTTGCATGGATCACCCATTTTTAGTAAGCTGGACCTTATGAAGCATGCCACCAAAGTCCTGTAGGACCGACTGATGTCCCGAAGACCGTCATAATAACCCCATTCGGCCTGTTCGAGTACTTGTGAATGTCGTTTGCTCTCCGCAGCGCGGCCCAGACCTTCCAAAGGTTCATCGACCAAGTCCTACGCGGCCTGACCTTTACTTTCGCATACATGGACAAAATCCTCGTTTTCAGCGATAACCAGGAACACCACGTAGACCCCCCGCGTTGGCTTGTCACGCGCCTTGAAAACTACGGATTGATCTTCAACCCTTCAAAGTGCACATTCGGCGTCGAAAGCCTGGAGTTCCTTGGCCAACACGTCGACAGTCACGGCACACGGCCGCTGCCACAGTGATTAGAAGTTATCCGTGAGTTCCCGTAACCTCCTACAACAAAGAAACTTGGGGAGTTTCTCGGGCTCGTGAAATCCCACAGGCGCTTTGTTCCTCAGTGTGCTACTATCCTCCAGCCCCTGCATGACCTCTTTCAAGAAAAATCAAGCAAGAACGCCATTCTGACTTGGACACCAACTGCTGACGCAGCGTTCTCCTCCATCAAGGAGGAACTTGCAGAAGAAACACTGCAGAACCATCCAAAGGCCGGAGCGAAAACATCAGTCATGGTAGACGCTACTAACTCCACTGTCGGAGCTGTCCTCCAGCAGAACATAAACGGAACGTGGAAACCAATGGCATTCTTCTCCAAGAAGCTGTCAACCACTGAGTACCGCTAAAGCACTTTACGAAGGGAACTTCTGGGAGTCTACCTTGCCATCAGACATCCGCTACTACCTCGAGAGACAATTATGTTTTGTGATGACAGATCACAAGCCGCTGACGTACTCTTTAACATCTAGCAGTGGAACGCACATGTCTAGAGAGATACGGCAAATTACTTACGTCATGAAGTTCACGAGCGATATCCGCTTTGTACCAGGCAAAGATAACTCCATAGCAGACGCACTCACTCGAACTGGCGTGAACACCTGCTCTACCAAGCGAAACGCTGTCAACAACGCAGGACTAGCATTAGCGCAGAGCACAGATACAACAATACCACATCTACGGGAAACGACGTCACTGAATGTCCAAGACGTAAAGATTCCGGAATGCAAACCAACATTGGTGTCCGATATGTTGAGAAAACAATCAAGACCATATATTCCCATAAAGTTCCGGAAACCTATTTTTGAAGCAATTCACTCACTTTCACACCCGGGAATTCGAGCCACACAACATATGTTAAATGCTCGATTCATCTGACCTAAGAACAACGCCTATATTCGCAACTGGATACGCATCTGTGTGCAATGCCAGCGCGCGAAAGTTGGTCGATACTTGACAACACCGCACGAAAACTTATTATCTCCGTTTCAGCAACATCCACCTTGACATAGTGGGACCACTCCCGCCAGCCGACAATTGCCGGTACATTTTGGCTTGCATCAACCGCTTCACGAGGTGGCCTGAAGCCACACCGATCAAGTCGATAACAGCAGAAGCCGTACACTCTCAAGAAAAAAGGGTGTAAAAAGGTGTATCGTTACACCCTTTGTCCCATATAATACACCCCAAAACTTCATTTCGACGTACTGAGCTATATAGACGCTTTACACACGCGCCAAATTACAGCCGCCATTGCTGACCTTCTCTTGTCTCATCGAGATGCCGAGCAACTGAAACGGTAGTTGACGATCCTCTACAAAGGCCGATGCTTTAGAAAGGGACACAGTTGAATCTAATATGGCAATAACGTGGCCTGCTATGGTAATGATGAAGTGAAATAAACGGAATAAGAGGAAACAAAAACTGAAGGTCAGTTATGGCGGCGTCCATGCACGGCTGCTGCAAAGCGTCTATAGTCGAAAAGACAGCCCCAAATTTTACGAGGGGCTTGATAGCCGTGTGGTACAACTTATTAAAATAGCTAATGCACGTGTTACTGACTACAAAAAAGAAAAAAAAATCGGGGCTTTCTTGGCCCTACTGTAAAAACTCCTGTGTTTTCTTTATGTGGTCTTTGATACGTACTTTAGCTATTTAAAAGTTATATCGCACCGTTATCAAGCCCCTCGTGAAATTCAGAGCCGTCTGTTCGACTATAGGGCTCAGTACGTCGAAATGAAGTTTTGGGATGTATTATATGGGACAAAGGGTGTAACTTTTACACCCTTTTTCTTGAGAGCGTAGCACGGGCCTTGATCAGCGTGTGGGTTAGCCGTTTTGGAATACCAACCACCATCACGACAAACAGAGGAAGACAATTCGAGTGTACACTCTTCCAGGACCTCTCACGGATCCTAGGTACAAAGCATATTCACACTAAATCCTATCACCCCATCTCCAACGGAATGGTGAACAGTTTTACACCCAGCTAAAGGCCAATTTGAAGACGAAAGGTACAACCGCGCCTTGGACGAAACTCTACCATTCGTTATGATCGGAATACGCACCTCACTAAAAAGTTACCTGAGATGCAGTGCAGCAGAAATGGTGTACAGCGGGCTTCTACGCATTTCTGGTGAATTTCTAACACCTTCCACCACCACTGAAACCACCACAGCAGAGGACTAGGCAAGCAGTCTACGTTCCTCACTCGAGAAACTACGACCTACACCCGCACGACAGGGGAAATCTCGCAAGGTGTTCCTCAGCCCAAGACTGTCACGGTGCGCCCACGTGTTCATACGCACAGACGTCATGAAGCGACCGCTGCAGAATCCAAATGAGGGACCACTAAAAATGATAAAACACGGCGACAAGAACTTAACCGTGCTCGCCAAGGGACGTGAAGATATAAGTTCACTCGAAGGGATAAAAAGAGCCCATCTGGAGCAACCCCAAGCACACACAACTCCAACCATAATACGATCTGTACATTTCAAAGGAACTCCTGGTAGCTCGTCTCCTGCACCTCCTCGCTAAAAGGGGAAAGGGGGGGAGGGTAAATGCAGCGGTACGCTACAGGGAGTATAGGCGACGAAAACCACCAGCACGAGAAAACGCCATAAATTACACGCAGGGGCTCGAGATGGCTACGCAAGAGGCTACGCAGTCCACATACCACAACCTTTAGATTTTGACTTTTTTTTTTTGTAAATAATGTAAAGTTATATTTTGTTAGCGAACGAGAATATCTTTCTTGGTACACAGCTTTACGGAAAATCGTGTTCTCAACCTCATTATTCGCTGTTATTTTTTTGTTTTTTTTTATGCAGAACGCGATGATTGGCTGTAGGTGCGCTCTCCAGAAAAGTGAACGTAAGGGCGTCGTTCATAACAAGTGCGGCTATTACTCAAGCAAATACGGTATAGTACACCGTGGGAAAGTGATAACCCCATCACGGATACCTTAGTATAGTCTCAGGCGTCCAAAGAGTGTGCGATTCAGCCCCCAAAAAGTTTAATCACAAAAAAGAAAAACATATAGCGTGGAAAAGAGGTGATCTGAGATCCGCGTCATTTTTCCCATATCCGGGCTCCTCCTCGCTTTTTTGTTTTCTATGGCGTAGAATGCGAAGGCATTTTTTGTTCTAAATTTAGAGGTGTCGCTAATTTCTTCTCTGTAATAATTATGAAGGTTTTTTTTTATTAGCTGCCAGTCTGCAGCACAAAACAGTACAACTTGTGCGCAAGGGTCGTCAAGGGATAGTTAAAACAAAGCAGTTACTCCTTGGACCTCTAGTCACTCAATGTTGTCAGAGTACCGAAACTACCAAGCTTCGTTTTAGAACCGAGTCGCGGCGCAGCAGTCGCGCTCCAACCCATCTCCAAAATAGCGAGGCCCTCTGCGGTCGAAGCGAGGCGCGTACATTGTGGCGTTCGTTCCCGGCGAGCTCTTCACAGCACTTTCCTTGTCTGTGGCGGCACTGGTTTGTTTTTATTAAAGTTATTTCCTTCGTTCCCAGCAGTCCGTGACTTATTCTTAGCTGTCTCGTCTCTTTCTCTCGCCTCGAAACACGTTCAAGTCGAGTGTTAGGCTCAACGCCTGAGGCCTAGAGTTTCAAACCGAGCACCAGCGCAACCTGAGCGAGCAAACGAGCCCGCAACTTTTTTTGGCGAACCCGATTAGCGGCTACTTAAGAAAAAAAAATCTAGAGAAAATTAATGCACCGTCCGTTCGGTCCTAAGTCATCGATGCTTAGGGCGGCTAACTCGTGAGTTCCCGCCGTAGCCTTGGTGACGCAGAAACGTTTTATAAACATTTGTTTGTTGTTTTTCTCCCGTCTTTAAAATGGCCGAGTAATAACTTCCGCCGCAGGCTAAACCAGCCAATCATAACTCAATTCTGCGGTATTGACTTCCGGTAAGTGGAGAGAATGGAATTCGGTACTCTGGGAACATTCAGTAACTCTACTTGGACCGAGTTGTCATTGGACATTGACTGGCTATTCCCGAATGGCAGGTATGCCACGGTCGTTAACGATGGCTGTTCCAAGTACCTAGTGGTGAGCATCTTGCAAATTTTTGCAGCATCAGAAGGCATCAGCAAGTTACGTTAAATGTCTGCCCAGTTTCAGCATTACAGCAATTTAAAGGTTGATAGTGGCCCAGCATTTCATGGCAGAGACTTCTCGACGTTCGCCAAAGAATTCGGATTTAGGCATCACCACATTACAGCAAGATTACCCGAAGCAAAGTAGAAAGTAGAAAAATTCATGAGGACACTCAAGAAACTTATCCTCGCGAGCATAATAAAAGACGAAGACTGGGACGAACGACCTTCAATCCTTTCTGCTAGCCTATCGTTCGACCCCACACGGCCCCACGAACATTATACCGTTTCAGATTCTCTAGAAGAGGACGGTGCGGAACCTACAACCAGCACTCCCAGGCGTAGATGACAGCAATAATGCTCACATCGAGGCACAAAGGAATAATGCAGCCAGGAAACGATACAACAAAGCATATATGTTGGCGTGCGGCGTCACACTCAGCATAACAAATTCGTGCCTTGTGAACTCGTGCTCAGTAGACAACAAGAGCTTACTTAACAAGCTCACTCCGTTCTACGACCCAGGACCATGTATTGTCGTAGCAGCACACGGCTCTCGCATCACAGCTGTTCACAATGGCAAAGTCACCACGTGAAACGATGGCTTATAAAGATGCTTCGAGAGTGACTGTTCCATCCGGACAGGAAGATACGGACCTCAAAAAGCCAGAGAAACTTCAATGAACACTCATACCAGTCAAACCTTACTGAATTTCAATGTAACTTTTTTGAAACTTTTTGATGAAGAGATTTTAGAGATTTTCAGTCTGGCAGCACAAGAAAAGGTAACATTGATCATGGCTTCCGCGTTAAGTATCTTTTCACGCAACCATCCAACATTGCAACTGATAGCCTATATTCCGTTCTGTTTTTGCTAACGCAAGTGTGAACGCGCAGGCACGCGCAATCAAAGTACCACGGAAGCCAGCGAGCTCGCGCTGAATGCGGATCTTCTAGTCTCAGCTGAAGAGTGAACGGAATATAGGCTCATTAACGTGCATCACCCAGTAGCGATCCACGACCACACGCCTGTACAATATTCGTCCAGATGGAGATAGGAATAGGTGCCGATTGAGCCCTGCATTCATTGGTTCTGCATCGCGAACTTCCGCAATTGCTTTAAGCAGCGGTGGGTTACCACACTCGACCAGCGAACCTGTTTTTCGTCTTAATTTGATGCATGTTAAGTTGCGCTCAAAGCTAGGATTACAAGGTTACGCGGTGAAAGATTGACAGATAGAGATGAGTTAAAATGTTGGGATGATTGCCTTCCTGGACCGCGGTCCCAGAGCAAATATTTCTATTCCGCCGTATATTTTGAGACATTTAATACCATGCTGATCAACCAAATAACATCGTCCACCGCGTTAGAAAGCGGTGGCGCTACATGAGCTTAGATGATGAAAGTGGCGAACGGAGACTCACCATCATCGAGACCAAATTTCACGGCCAGCTTGGACTCTGCCTGGACCGTGCCTGTGTCAAGGAGTAGCTTGACGACGCCCCACACCGAGTGGGTCTGTACGATCTCCAGAGGGGCACTGGAACCGCACAGTCGCTGCGGTGGCTTCGGCACGTCGCTCCCCTAAGGCAAATGTTTATAATGCGCTTAATAATTACCAACACGTAAGAAGCGAAAGCATGGAGATCAGCTGGACAGGAAACATTATATTTAAACCCTGAGACACGAGGAGATAAACTAACGAACGGATTGTCCGCTGCTTATCCTTGTCTCGGGGCTTAGATTATGATCAGAAAGCATTAGAAACGTCATCGAATCGCTCCGCGCACTAACCAGACAAGGCAGTTACCATGACGAGTTCCGTGATGTCAGCGCGCGATGAGCGCCTGGTTAGCGAACTATTTGTGCATCGCCGAGGAAGAGTGCTTGATGATAACGCGGACGTGGGAGTAGCTTCTGGCGCAAAATAATGTCTGGCTATATATAGCAAAGCATTTTAACAGTGCACACATAAAAGTTAGCAAACTATAGAAATGTGTTAATGACGCGTGGGCGCTCTTTAAACAGAATGTTATCAGGCTAACAGAAAACGTACAGCCACACTTTTGATGTACAGGGTATTTCAAATTGCGGCCAGGCTCTTTAAATCGACCGCAAAAATCAGTTTCTTAATTTATGCACTACGATTTTGTGCAGCGTTACCCACAGATGGTGATTTTTTTTCTATAAAAATTGCAAAGAGCGAATTACCAAAGGAAAAATAACAACAAAAAAAAAAAGAAGAAGAAAAGTTTTAACTCCTATCAAAACGGAGCAAAGCCAGCGGTCTTGGAACAGTAGGGCACCTTATTGTTTGAAGACCGAAGCAGGACGGAGGGAAAAGGCGGAGAGGGGTCGAGCTCCAAGTAAACAAAAATTGAAAGAGAAACAACAGTTTATCTACGTGGTTAAGTAGCCGAGTCTCTCTGCGGCACACTCGCATTTCCTTGAGGAGATACCTCATGCACTCTGGTTTTTGTGAACTCAGCATTTTAGCGCTGACATCATTAGCTTTCATTTCTTCATGTGACTACTATGGGCTCATCCCTGATGTGATAAGACGATTTAAAATTACACCGCGCCGCTAACGTGCTACGGTTTCTTAATGGAACAAGAGAGCAAGCGCACAGTTGCATTGTCGCTCAATTTCTTTTTTTTTTTTTTCGCGAATAATCGTATCGATTTAACATATCTCCAAAGGAAGAGAAACATTGTTTTGCTTGCCCGACTATCCTTACAGCAGCATTATAAGACAATACTTGTGTTTTAATGGTTGTCTTTGACTGCTAGAAACCTGAGCTCATAGCTTTATCTTTAAAAGTTACCTCTGTTGAGCAAGAGTTCACGCAGCCAATGCGCGCCCTAAAGACATAGTGCTTGTAGCATAGCAGTGGATTCTTGTACAGGTGTATAGCACAATAAAGAGCAGAGGAGCGAACATTAAGACGAAACATCACTTTGTTCAAAAGGAAGTGGGATAGAGAAGAGTATGTTAGTGCATTATAAGTGCAGAAGTGGTATGTTTCGAGCATAAATGAACCGACGGCATGAGACCGTTATTTATGACGCGTATCTAGTGCTCGGGACATGGGAACGGGGGATTCCCAGCCGCTTGAGTGAGGGCCGCGTCCCAGCGAGTAATGGGCCGCATGCGACCCGTGGACCGCCCGTTTGAGACACCTGCCTTAGGGATACTCGCAGGTTACAACTTTTTTTATAGTTAAGTCAAACACTTCAATACAAGATAAGCGAATATCAGACCGGCTTTATCAAAAAGCTTTCTGTGATCGGATGACAGTTGTTTCTCAAACTTTGTGTTTGACAGCTTGCCCCTTCCCCACACTCGCAAGGGACTCTCCGCAACGTCAAGAACCCAAATGAAGGCAATATCGGAAAGCGCATAACCAAAACATTCCAAATTTGTTAATTTCAAAACAATCCTCTCCGCCCATAAAAAGGGCGAATATAGTTAGTTACCACTTAGGTAATTGCAAAATGTAGTTAAGTTAGTGAACTAACTACTGACTCGTGGTACTATTTGTAAGTTACCAAGTTTTTCTCAAAACTAATGGTAACGAGTCTTTGAGCTACGTATACAGTGCTTTCTAAGCTTAAATGGAACGCGCAAACAGTGTCTTTTCTAATGGCTGGGATATCCTGGTTAATGCTGCACAGCGGCTTTGTAACGTTGCGCTTCGGAATGGCTCGTTGAGTGCTACGTCACAAGACCGTTATATAGCTTCCGTCAAGGTAGCACTCCCATAAGAAAAGAGACAGTTCGCTTGTTTCGTCTAAGTTTGGTGAGCACTGTACGTACACGTGTGCGCTAGAGTACTATAAAAAATTACACAAGCGATTTTATTGTTCTGTGTATGACTCAGCTGATTCGCGAACAATTTAATTTTCTTGCACGGTTTCGGCGACTGTTGTTCGTGTGCCAGATTGGTTCGAGTACGAGACAGCTAGAGCTTTTCAGACAAGCCCCTTCGTCATGTGCCGGTCGGTGTGATAGGTTCGGTGCTCTTCTAACTGTGCGCTGCCACTCGGTTACCCAAATATTTATCTATTTACGGGCTTTGGTTGGTTCGTTTGTGAATGTGAAAAGCTGAATATGTTTAGGCTACAAGGCAACACGGGACAGTACAGCAGCTGGAATGTCTCTTACAGGCCGTGAAAACTTCACAATGTAGTTTCCCCTGTAGGCCTAGGAATAGCCCAAAAAGGGCAAGAGACGAACTGTCTAAAGGAGGGTTTGAGTTTGAGAAGTACTGTACGTGTGCCGGAAGAACGGCGCGAGGAAATGATCAAAGGATTGTGTTGCCGGCTCTCTCGAGCACGCTCCTCACCTCGAATGACTCGAAGATGGTGAGTGCCGCCGAGTGGTCGCAAGGTAGTGAAAATGCGTCTATGCGCATCATCATGGTGCTACCCTCCGTGGGCAGCAACGTCCACAGACAGCGCAAGCCGGCGGGAGCTCCGGCAGGGTAGTCGGGACTGCGCAGCTCCTGCCAGCCGGTCACGTTGAACGTGCCTCCGCACACGGCTGTAGGTCCACGAAACACGACATTCGACAACCTTGCACGCAGGAATTCGATAACGAAAAGACTCACGTGGAATCTCCCGGAAGAGCGCGCTGAAGGCCGTGTCCTGGTATGCGCTGGATAGGTGCACCAACATCGCGTTGCCAGCCGAGAGAAGCAGCGCCGGGGGCCGGTCGCAGAGACGGACCATGGGCTCGTGTCGGTCGTCCAGGCTGTCCCAGACCTGAGAGTCACGTGGTACAGTGAGGTGCCAGTCCACGTATCAAACAGACCGCCCGCATATGCTCGAGGAGGAGCAACGAGTTACCCCGACCAGCGCAGTCGTAATGTCGTATGGCCTTGCGGTCAGCGCTGTACTAGCACAATCTCCTCGATGTGCGCAGCGTGCGCTTAACGGTGCGTCTACGCCCCCAAAAGACGTCTAGCTATTGTATAACCAAAATCTGCAGAGTGTTGTTGAGAGTTCCACGTTGTTATAGCCGTATAGCCTATAGGCCATGCAGTGTGATTCTGGGTGCTTTTTGGATCGGTGCAGGAAAATGCATCTGAAAGCTGTTACTGCTGTGACAGTATACCAAGAAATTCGATAGGCTATTCGTTCCCGTTCACACAAAACCTCCTTGTGAGACATCGCTTTGACGAAGTCGACGGCTGAAAAGGTTGTGTTTTACAGCGACAGCTGATACCGGCTCTTCCCACCACTGGAAATGACGTCCGTTGTTGACTTTGTAGTTAATGATGTCGTAGTTGGCGTTGTAAGGCGTAGGGCGTCCGTCCATGTTAACAAATCTTTGAAAAAGATCGCCCGCCGCCCCTCGAAAATCGAACATGGGTTTTTATGCGTCCGAAGCGGAGGCATCACCACAGAGCTACGCCAATGCTTTTTATAGTGAAGCTGTATGACTCATTAGTCAAATTTTTCGTGTCCGTCGACAATAGCCGACAAAAACCCATTCCATGAATTATAAAAATAAAAAGCTGCTTAAAAATTGCTTTGTTACTAATGCGGCGAGTGCTACGTGTCTCGCATTTTTCACGGGAGCTTTATCACCTGTCATGTGTTTTTGACACTTTTTTGTGTGTTTTTCTTACTGAAACAAATACTGAAGTGTGTGCATGCGACACACACCCTAGTATTTGTTTCAATAAGAAAAGCACAAAACAAGTGAGAAACCAGATGAGATGATAAGGCGCACGCTAACAATTCGAAGCACGTAGCGCTCCCCGCATTGATAACAAAGCAGTTATCAATGTCGTCAAAAAATAAGAGTTTTGGTACAGTGCATTTACTTTTCTTTCATCAATCACTTAGTATAGTCAGCCGGCAACAGACAGGTGGCGCCCGCAGGGTGGAAGCCCAAGGTTATACCCTGTGTCGTTGTAACTTGGCAAAGGGTGAGCGATAAGCCCCACGTTGCGTGCCGATAACTTCGATATATGCGCTAAGTATACGAGCGCAGCGCACACATATTGGAGTATGACACATCAAAAAGCACCATACTTCGCAGTAAAAGCGCCCTTCGGTGATACGCAGTCACGTTCGGATTGGGGCCGTATATAGCTTGCGCCGTACGGTCATGTTATGCGATCGCGACTTCCTGGCCTACCCAGTATTTCTTGCTTCAGCCACTAGGCTAAACGGCGCAACCAGAGTAATACTTCACATTTCAACAATGAAGCCGCTACTCCCAGGCATCCTCAATATTTCTTGCTTCAGTCGCCAAAGAGCGCCAAACCAAACGGCATTGCAGGTTGCCTATGGTGCAGTGGGCAATCGTTGCCGGCGATACCACAGCTTCGCTGGCCAGCCACCTTCAAAGCGTGGATTGGAGCCCAGACGCGTCTTTTTTTATTGCCCGGTATTGTGGAATGACACATAGCATCATACCCTCGTTAGATCATGACACCAAAATACATCAGGTGACTGGCTGAGGTCAGAGTCAATAAAAGTCCCTGTTGTTGGCAAACCTCTCAAGCAGTAGCAACCACTCAGGCTGAGGTAGCAGGGGCCTTGTACAACTCTTTTAGAAAACATACATCTCCAACAAATTACTTGTGCGCCGGACGCACATCGGCGTGACGCCCGGCCATGCGACACCGCCATGAACTGTGCAATCGTAGAAGCATGAGGAAGTCGTAGGGTACACTATCACCCTTTCCAACAGGTAAAAAAGAAAATCTCTGCGTGGACAGAGGCAGGTCTTTTTTTAGGTTCCCTGAAGAACGTCCCAAAAGAACTCTGCATTCCAGCAGTCTAAAAATACATGTTCTATTGTTTCTTGTCTTTTACCACAATAAGCATTTTCAGTCCACATAAAGAGTAATCCCTTTTCCGCCATCTAAGCTTTAACAGAAAGCTTCGACTATGCAGTTAAAAAAAAAAAAGATTTTAGTGCCTGCTGGAGCAACCATTCTCTTTACCCGATTTAGCACATATTGTTTTGGGACTCCACTCTACAAGGCACGGTGCAAGGAAGTCGGAAAAAGCAAACCTTTAAGGTCTTTCGTGAAACGTTTTCGCGAAGAGCTCAGTCAAATATTCACGCGAGAATCGATTGACTGAACATTTATAAGCCCTAATAACTTCTCTTAAATATCCGCAGACACAAGCACCAATGTCTTCGCTCGTTGATGCTAACAGTTCTGGCATAGCTCTGCACAACCTGATTTGAAACACAGAACGCAAAAGAGGATCCTTCTGGTCTCGAGGAAACATAAACCTGTTTAACAACTGTCTTAAGAACAGATGAGACAGGCCGAGACCACCAGCTGTTGCCCCAAGAAAAATATCTGTTGTAATTTGATAATGCAATTCAAGCAAAGGTGCACGCGAGCTGTACAAGAACTACGATAATAATCATTACAGTCATTTATCGTCATTATTGTCCAGCTCGCTTGCAGCTTTGCATTAATTGCCTTATCATAATACTCTTAAAACGCAGGCCGCTCATACTTGTTGGTGTTAGACTAGTGGCAGATGATAAGACTCGTTTGCTTTATTGCCGTATAACAGCTGGTTAACTAAGTTGACTGAGCGCTTCACTGGAAATGGAGAGGTCCCTGGTTCGACACCAGGACCAGACGGAGTTTTTCGGTCGCGCACCAGTCACCTAGCTGTGTTTGGGGAATTATGTTTTTCCATTGTTACCCTTGTTTGCCTTCTCCAGTGTCTATTATCGTCATCATTGTTCTACTCATTCGCACTCCTACAGAGCTGCAAATAAACACGGCGAAAACGCGGTGTATGCGTTGGATATGTTGACACGCGAACTGCGTAAAATCTGTACCACATATCGAACCTTGGCAGCAGGGTACGCGTTACAAACGGATGCGCGAGCCAATATTTACAGTCCATTGCCTCCCCACTTGTTCGCTCTTGCACGCAAAGCCTCGGTTTGATTGCGCCACTATTGATCATTGCCGCAGTAGTGATTCAGTGGTACGCCAAGATGACGTGTCGGCAAGTCGGTCCTAAAAAACCCGTTCATACACGGCAGGTTTTGAAGGCCGATTCCCGTGCACAAAACCAACACACTTTTCCCAGTTGACTGAGCTACTCGTGTGGTCACAAAACACCTGCGTTAGCTCAACTGCCTTTTTAACACTGTCTTCATCCACACAAAATATCACGACATCATTCGCGTAGGGACAAATACGAACTTTCGTAAATTGAGCTTTGACTAGAACTGCTGCGCATAATACTTAAACAAAGGGATCTCAGGAAAATACATAAAAGCAAAGACAAAAGGGGACATCCTTGTCGCACGGAAGTATGAACACGTTCGGGCACAGCCTTTTTTACAACAAGACGGGTGGTGGCAATTAATTTAGGCCATGCGTAAACCTTGGCACAAAACTAGCCCGACGTTCACGTGCTAAAAAAAACAACAACAACATATATTTCGTGCGACACACGGTCGAAAACTTCTGCTAAATCGATCTGAACGACTGCCACTCTTCGTTCAATACTATCACAACATTCTAAAATACTCCGTGCGACGTGGACGTTCGTGACAAGGCTTCTTCCGCTTATACCGCATGTCTGGTACTAGCCGACAGTAACGCTTATCACACTTTGCGAACGCTCAGCTAATACCTTCTTCAAAATCTCGTAATCCACGTTTGTGAGAGTAATCAGGTGATACGAGCTTGCATTACGGAGTTTAACATGATCTTCGCATTTTGATATAAATATCGTATGCGTACACAGAAACAAAGGAGGCAAAACGTGCTGGCGATACGCCTCGGTAAACACACACAGCACAAACGGGACAAGCTGATTCTTGAAAACGTTGTGAAATTTTGAGCCTAAACCGTCAGGGCCGGCTACCTTTCCCTGTTCTAAATTGTCGATGGCTTGTTCTATTTCGCACAATACTATCGGCTGTTCGAGATATATATATACTTTTTTAATGTCGTTTGCCAGCCTCGCAATTAACTGTAAATACATACTCCAAAAGCCATCCTTTTTTGGCACGAGGTAACCAAAAGTTCTTTATAGTATACTGTAAGGAACCTTATAGCTTACTATAAAGAACATGAAGGACTTATCTAAAAACGCGCGCTCAATGAAGTCCTTTTCACTAGAAAGAACCTTCGGTACGAAATTTCGCTATATTCATTCCTACCCGCGCTTTCTTTTTTTTTTTTTTTTGTGGTTATATTTTTGAGCGGCAACCGTTTCCATAGCGCTTGTACTGTTGGGTATTAATCGATTCCAGGCTTTTTTTAAAACGGATAGTTTCGTCAGAAAAAACGTCGGGCGATATGCATTCTTCCTTAATTAACTTCTGTAGTATAGACCATTCAACTCCCGTGTTTTATTATTTTTTTTTTCTTCGTGTTTCCATAAACTCGAGCATTGTAAAGCAATCATTTTGGCTTCCTGTTATAAACAAATCCCATTTCGCACCGAACGCTTCCCTTTCGGCGCTTGCCAAATCTTCGAGTTTTTGGCAGACCACACTTAAGAAACAATCTTCATTTAGTAGCTTCGTGTTAAAATTTCCCTAACTCTCAGGTGAAACTTTTGGGGGCTTCTTTAAGCCCACAAGAAAATGAGCAGTCCTGTGGATTAACAGAGGACTGCTCATTTTATCAAAAAAGTAATTATCAAAATGTGTCACTGCACATTCTAACGTTTTTTTTTATTATTGTTGATTTGATGTTTATCCATCGAAACAGCGTCAGGAACTGTGCACCTCTGTGTTGCGACACGCGCAGCTTTTCTTACTTAACAAAAACAAAAAAAAACGAGAGTCTTACCTCGAGAAAATCGCCGCATGGCGTCGAGGCGTTCCCCAGCGCGAGCGCAGTGACGTTCAGTTCGAGGCCGTAGCCCGAGCGTGCCACCAGCGTCCACACGCAGTCCAGGCGGCCCACGTAACCGGTTCTCTTGGGTGCGCTCAGAGAGCCTGACGCCTGGTGGACTGTGCCGCCGCAGCCCTGTAGGGGCCCTGTGTACACACACAAACACGCAGCCGGTCAAATGTCGTGCGGCTCCGTCACGCTGTATCCACACTGGCGGTTGAACCACCTTCACAAAGCGGTTGCGAACGCGGTTGCTTCAAGATCCAACAGAATTTTACTCGGGTTCGATGGTAAAAACGAGAGGATTCGCTTCGCGGTCGCCATTCGAACGCCAGTGTGGGCGCACCTTTTAGTCCCCCACACAACTTGCATCGACGTCAGATCATCTACCATTGTGGTTGCCTTGCTGCCGAGCGGGTACCTTCTATCGCTTGCATATCAAAGCGATTAGCTTTGTTAGGATCGTCAGGCCAGTTTGAGGTATGTTTACGGCCGTTTATTTCCCCCTAAATTTACCGGGATAAATGAAGTCACGCGACTTCATGTGACGTGACCTATACACAAATTCAGTTTCCCCGCTAGCAGAAACAACTAACGTCATGTGGCTTCTCCACCAATTCTACGCTAAATTTAGCGGAAATAAAGGACGTAACATGGCTTGCTGTCACGTGACCTACTGACAAATTTATTTTCCCCGTTAAGTTGGGCAGGAAAGTTGATACGTCACTGGCAGGTCCTTTTTCAGTTAACTCTACAGTTATCGCTTAATTAGACAGCATAGTTGGTTTTTCACAACCGAGTTTGCCTTTGTTAGTGAGGTTTCGCGGCAGAACCAATGTTTCGTGTGTAGGGCTGTGACGTCATATGACGTCATGTGAAACTGACGTCACGAGACTCTGCTAAATTTTGAGAAAAAACTATGGCGTCACATGACATGGCATCACGTAAAACTGCCACAGTGTCACGTAACACTGTGATTATGTGTTAAATTTAGCGGGGAAACTACGAGATCAGGTGACAATGACAACCTTAATACTCGTAATATTTATCCTTTGACATTAACAGTAAAATATATTAGTTTTTTTATTATTGTAGAGTGAATTTTCATGACAATGACTAGGTAAATATTGCACTCAGTGTCGCCATTTATAATTTGGAGTTATATCCGTTGAGAATGAATTTAGTGAATGAGTTTCGTATTATATAGTCGTCCTATATATCTAAGCCCTTGGATGTGCACTTGTTGCTTTTGTAGTCAACCGTCTGTTTAACAGAGCTAATTTATCTGCCACGTTTGAATGTTCTATATTGGATTACTGACCTGTGTATTTTTTACTTCGTTTGTTTATGAAGTGATACATAAATTCTGAGTTCTCGGCACCCTCCGCCAACTGGGGAGGGTGCCGAGAACTCGTCAAGCTGCACAAATGCGGTTTTATTTCTCAGTCCCCTTCCATCATGTACCTGTACTCGATGGGAAAATAAATATTAATAATAATATTATTATTATTATTATTCTTACAATTTTTACGTTTGTCCTATGTTGAGTAGTGGTGGAGAATGATTAAGTGTATTATGTGTGCAGCAAAATGCAGAGCCTTGGCTGTCGCCACAGTTAGGTTGTTTAGGCCAAGGCACCGGCAGCGTTCCTCGGCAAACAAGCAGGAATGTGTACCAGCAGGCTGTGATAACGTCACGTGCAACCCGTGCATAGAGGAGAGCGCATCATTCTCACCGAGGCTGCTACGGTAAGAAGCCCTGAAGCCCGTCCCGCCAGGATACTCGGTGAAGCTCTCGAGCAGCACCGTCATGGTGTTGCCCGTGCTCTTCGCGACTGGAGAGCTGGCGGAGCGCCCGCAGTACTGGTAGATGGCGGGAGAGTCGTCGGCGTCCCCGTCGAGCACTCGCAGCAGCGTGGCCGCGTTGTCCTGCGAGCAGTTCTGCACCCGGCTGCCCCAGCCCACGTCGAGCATATCCAGCCGGAGCTCGACCACGCGTTCTGGAGCCACTCGAATGTTCCAGCGGCAACGGCCTCGTGAAGGGACGCCCTCCAACGGCAAGCCGAAGTGACCGCTCTCCCCGGTTAGGTTACCGCCGCAGTCTGGAACCCCAAGGATCACTTGTCTGCCCTCAGTGTTGACCCGACTCCGTTGACCCCTCAGCTGCAGCGACGCCCTCGCCGGAACGATCAACCGCTTCGTCCCCTGACTACATTTTCTTTGCGTGAATAGAGAGTTAGTAGATCGTTCGGATACCTCCGATACCCATACCCGATAACGATACGATGTATGCAAAAGGCGGCGGCAGAGCTTCGGGTATTGTGATCGGAGTCATCGGAAAGATCTACTAAAACTCTCTCATGTGGGCGGGAACGTCATCACGTGGCGAAAGGTATGACAGGCCCAACGAGGACATAGCTTTCATCAACTCATGTTTACAAACATGCGCGGCGCCAATGGCTTGCCCAGCGGCAAGCCATTGGCGCCGCGCATGCGCGATGGGGCGTGTGTCATAAGCGCTGCGTAACGCATCAACAAAACAACGGAATGTGATGTCGTCGTCCGTGTTAGTTCCTGTGCTCTTTTCGCTTTGGAATTGTTGATTCCAAGTCTTCCTCACAATGTCTTACTACTTTAGTCACCTGAGTGAAATTAACGAGGCTCGTTACACTGCAAACCTTTATGTGAATCATGTGACGTGCGGCGATTCATTCCACCTAAGTGCTGGAGAACGGACGCAAAAACCTGATTCACATGATGAGATTCTCCCCGCTATTTTCAGCCGCGACGACGCTCGGGCTGCCGAAGCGTTGACGGCAGCTCCGATTTTTGACCACGATACTGAAAATAGCAAGCAGAATTGAACCCAGTGAATCAGGCATAGCAAGTTGTTGACGGCCACTGGCAACAGTGATCAGAATCGTCTTGTATCTACTGCTTAAACCGAGCATTCTTGCCCTAAACAATCTTCAAACTTAGAAGTCTTTTTAGGCCTGCACTTACTTTTTATCGCAACGTTTGGTATACTTGCCGCTGTCGTTTGAACGAGCAGACAACAGATTGAGTGATCACTCGGCCATTTAATAGTGAAGACGCACTGAACGCGGTTCTTGGGTGGTCCGGACAACCTGGCGGTTTTTCCACGTTAATGTTAAAACAAAACAAATAAATCTGACTACCACAAGTGATTCCCGCAATTCTGATTGGACGGTGTCTGTTTTTTCGTTTCCGTTTTGTGGCACTTATATCTACATTCTCGGACGAACCGAGCAGGCAGAAAATACATCAAGACTGATCTTCACACCTTTCCCAGCTCTTGTGGTACAGCCCCAGTCACGGTGTTTTGACAAGAGGGCAGGTTTAGTATGTTGTCTTCCAAAACAACAAAGGAATGCACGTCCTGCATGGCGACTTCCGCCAACACCCCAATAGCGGAAGCGCGCCCGAAGCACTACTACTTTGGCGTGAGGCAACATGCAAAGTTGAGTTGGTGCTTGATTGATGCCAACGTTACGAAAGTTGGTTGCTGAATAACTCAACTCTCTTACGCATGCCGCGGTCCTGGCGCTTCGGAAAACTTCCGACCTGGTGTGTGGGAGGATGGTACCATGCGGGCCGGGCATTGCTATGTTATTAGTGCGTTGGCATTCGTGCCTACATGAGAGGGAAAAGCTGAAGGCGTTCGTCTGTGGACAAAACAGTGGAAAGGGAAGCAAGATTCATTAGTGGATTCTTAGGCAAATACGTTAGCATGACTCTTGGGAAACGCCACACACGCCCCCTTTGAGTAACGCTAACACTCACGCCGTAACGAAGCCCAGAAGGGGCAGCGATAAATAGAGGAAGCTAAAACAGAAAAGTGGAGGGGTCAGCGGTTATCGTTTCCCAAAAGAGGACGTGTGTGGCGTTTTCCAAGGGTCATGGTAATGCATTCTTTAAGGATCCACCAATGGACCTTTCTTTAGCTTAGAAGAAACCAGACTAAAAACTGCCTTCTCGTGAAAACGCAGCGACTGTGGCTGCCCAAAAGAGCCGGCAAAGGTGTCAAGATCAATTTACGCGTGTCATTTCGTCTTCTTGGTTCGTCCGAGAACGTGGATAGGTGCCTTGAAAAGGGCAAACCAGATGACGTCGGGCCACGACTACTTGTGCGGGTTTCACTTTGAGTTGAATTCATGGAGAATTTCGGTCGACACATTTCTTTCTTTCTCTCCAACATGAATGCGGGAGAACCGTCAAGCTGTCTACTGCACGCGCGGACCACGTTCAGTGTGCCTTCGCGTTCAAACGGCCGCGTGATCGTTCCAACTGTCGTTGGCTCCTTCAACCTCGTCTGCTTTGTCAAACTGTCGTCGTCACGTTCAGACGACAACCGTTCGTAGACCACACGTTGACGCGGTAATTGCGATAGGAGGTAAGTTGAGGCCTCAAAAGACCTTTAAATTTGAAGGTTGTTTGGGGTAGGTAGGCTCGGCGTAAACAGTGAATACAAGCCCTACCGAAAAATCAGTTATAACTTTTCGCTATCAAGATTATGCAACCGGAAATCTATCTGGATTTTATATGAACCCTATCTCGAATTTAGGTTTTCAGAAATTATTCCTTTGTCTGCAATTTGGATTTCGGGTTTCCAGAAACAAATATCCGGTTTCATAATCCGGGTAGTAAAAAGTTATACCGGATTTTTCGGTAGGGAGGGTATGGTGATCATTGTTACCGGCACCCTTACCGACTTGTTATGCCTGATTTACGTGGTTTGATTATGCTCGCCGTTTTCTGTATCGACGTCCAGCGTCACTGGTAACGTCCAAGCTTCTTTTGTAGTCCGAGCGACGTCGCGACTAAAACAGCGATTAATCTCATAATGTGAATCAGGATTTAGCGTCCATGCTGAGGCATCCACGCGGAATGAATCGCCGCATGTCGCATCATTCACGCGAAAGTTTGTGGTGTAACGAGCCTCGTTAATTTCGCGAAGGCCACGTAAGTAGTCAGACTTTGCTAGGAAGACGTAGAATCAGCAATTCCAACGCGACAAAAAGCACGAGACTCACAGCAACGGTGACACCATCGCATTTCAAGGGTTTGTTGATGGACCACAGCGAGATTCTCGCCCACACCCCATCGCGCATGCGCAGCGCCGGTGCCGTGCCGCTAGGGGCTCTCCGGTTTGCTCGTAACCATGAATTTTTGCTGGACTTTCAAGGCCACCTACCGGAGGTCAGTGCGTTCGGCTGCTACTTGTGTTCTTACAGCTTGGACACCAGTCTCGGCCTCTAATCCATATAGTTCTTATAATGTATGCTAGAGGTCCAATTGGCGCTAGTGTCCATACGACTTCCGGGAGGCGAATTGAAGCAGGCAGCAGCCAGTTTATTTTTGCGGTGCTCCTGTACATTCCCATGGGAAATGCGCGTGCAAATTGTCTCTTCGCCGGACAATAGCACGGAACACGGACACGGGCGTTGTCTAAATGTCAGGCTAAGGAACATGCCTTAGCGCTATGGTCATCTCCTGCGGGACATTTTGTGGTGGATGTAAGAGACTGTGTGTGTACCCCACTCTTCGAGCACACGAAAGTACTCAAACGGTTTTCTGGTCAGAGAAGTAGAGGACTCTTCAGAGCACACATCATACTCTCCAAAGGCGACGCCTGCATCAGTGCTCCCTCAGTAGCCTTATCGGAAATGGAAAAATTTTACCTCAGCCTTCATTCCTGAAGATCCTACTCATTATTTTGTTACTGAATTATTTTTCTTCTTCCTCCCTTTTCTTATTTTCTTCTCCTTTCCTTTTCGTCTCCTTTCTTTAGGGGCGAAGCTCCTTAGGGACTAGCCTTGTCCGTCCGGCGTCCGTGCTCACATCGATTGCCATCCCATCTGTCTTCTTAAAAAAAAGAAAAAAATGTTTGCGCAGTCGACAGGATTCTAACCTGTGCGGGGAGACCCCAATGGATTTCTAGTCCATCGCCTTAACCACTCGGCCACGACTGCGGGACGAGTGGTGGGCTCTGAGATGTGGTAGTAAATCAAGAGCTGGGGATGTCATGAATTAAACGTTGCATGCAGACGCTCAACATCTATACAGGAGAGGTCGCTGCGGTCAAATGCGTATATAATCGCGTTAAACGTTAAACCATCAGCACCATCAAAATCAGCACCATAAGCACTACCTCAGGGGGTAAAGGTGGGTGAGGAGGAGTGGCAAATCCCGTGCGCCGACATCCTGGGTCCCGAGTGAAAGATCGCGAAACAAAGCAAAAGAACACGATAGAAACAAACCAATGTTGCCAGCTGAAGGACGACAGTCGCAATGGTAATCGCGAAGACTGAAAAATCTCAGCAATATAATTAGTGATAATTTAGCGTTGTAAACTAAATTTTGAGCTATTCTAACGCTTATAAAAAGCGGTATATTCATTACGCTGCATTAACTTCCCTTCTGTCGAAATCTCTGAAATCTGGTGGTTGCGCGGTTTCATATTTCTGGGGCGCAGCCAACCGCGAAGCCGGTGATCTCGGCTTTCTGGTTTAGTTTAGTGTTGACGGAAGGCCGTACATCTGCGCGCTATGGAAAAAGAAAGCTTCGAAAAGTACGCGAATATCTTTCCGCCGGTAAATTCGTGTATTGTTGAAGCTCATAAAACTGCTCTGATGATATAATTATATTTATGAAATCGAAGGCAGTTAGTAACCATCTGTGGGACCCCGATGGTCTGCCTGCATGCTCCGCTGCTTGTGGCAGCCAGAATGCACGAGAAAATAGCGGACCTTTTCCTCTAGAGTTAGTACGTATGATCTCTATGCACTACCTATGAAGAATAAAATCAGTATCATCCGCACCACCAGAGCTTCGCCTCAATCAACATCATTCACCACGTGGAGATGCGGTCATTTTCTTTTTCTCCTTTGCTTTTATTTTCTTTATCTTTTTCATTTTTTTGCATTATATTATTTTGTATATACTTACAAAAGCATCCTTCTGTTTCCTATCCTATCCCTTTTTTATCTTTCCTCTTCTTCTTCCATCTTCCTTTTTTGTCTTTAAATTACCTTACTTCTTATCGTCTTCTTTTCTCTTGCAAATAAAACGCCAGTAGTCA